GAGAATGGTTAATAATAAAAATACATTGTGACAATCAGGTTGGTTGAAGTTCAGACCCTCAAAAGCTTAGAAAAACAGAAAATAAACATGTGATTCCTTGCATTACCGACTAGGCAAGCCAGGATACATTGTACTCCCTCCACTTAGAACTATATGTTGGTAAAGCTGCAATTGAAAAGACATCGAATTTTAGAAGGGAAAACATGTAAAATGGAAAGAATAAGCCAATTCATATATATGAACTCTAGAATAAACTTTGAGTTGTATACCATCATCCTATTGTCAATATCCATTTCCTGGATGCAACGAAATACCATGTCAGCCATTCCATCACCTTCGACGTCAATGAGTTCCTGCAAGAAATAGTAGTTTTCTAAAATTCCATATCATGAGGCTGGCGTGCTAAAAAAATACCATGGGGCAGGCGGTATTTAACTTTTGATCCATGAAACAAAAAAAACACTTTTTGAACTGTTTCACCTGTAATTGATAGACACTCTTGACATAGAACCAAAGTCATTTTTTGCCAACAAGAACAAGAACCCAGTAAAATCCCACAAAATGTCATTTTTTGCCACAAGAAAAAAAAACACATGCCTATATTGAAAAAGAAAAAGAATTATACAGGAAGAATTGGTTCCCTTTTCCTTCAAAGGGGTGAAGGGTTCAACATAGCTATTAGCTAGTGTCACATCAACTGGGTTTCATTATGTCACGACTACGATTATGGAGCATAAAAGCTATGAATTTAGTTCTGGACAACAATAACAAAAGTATAAGTGCTTACTGGAGAGAAAAGAGCTTCAGGTGCTTGAAACCTCTCAGTGCCCACTTTGATTACCCTCCCATCTGGAAGCTGCTCTTAAAATAAATAAATAAATAAATATTTTTACAAACAAGTAAAATCTGTCGAGCAAGCATAGTTAACATGATTACACCACAGGTAAACAAAAACATAACTGACTGATACTGGAAATGAACACAATGCTTATAAGCAGAAAGGAAATATATAAAATTACTAAACAACAACAACAACAACCCAGTTAAATCCCACAAGAGTAGGGTCTGGGGAGGGTGTGTGTACGCAGACCTTGCCCCTACTCGAAAGTAGAGAGGCTGTTTCCAAAGAGACCCCCGGCTCAACATCGAAAGTTGCAGTGTTTGACTAACTGCTACTTCATTAATTAAAGAAGCGCAGATAGTTTAGAGATCCATTTTGATTTATTCCATCACACCCCAAAGCCAAAAATGGTGAAATTTTGACTCCATCGGAGATGATGGAAAAATATATAAAATTACTAGTAATATACAAAATTGCTGCCTAAATTTAAGTTTTCATTACTATTTGCAGCAAGCCAGTTGTAGTAAATAAAGAAGGCTTTCCCATGCACGACTTAATGTTCAAAATAAATCTACTCACAGTGTAATTCTTAACAAGGATTGTTGTCTCAAGACCCAGTTGATATTCTCGTTTATAATCATAACTGCAGTAAAATAATTTTAATATTTTGATTAAAATGAGGAGGAATGGAAAATATGATTAATTCGCTATGGCATTAGTCAGTTCACCTGATGTAGCAGAGCTTTTCTTTAATATCTCTGACAGTCTCAAAATCGGCACTTCTATTCATCGCATACCTTCAATGATAAGATTTGTGACATTATGACTTAGAAGAGCCATCCAGAAAACAAATATATTGATTCTTTTACCCTCTTCGGAGTAGCAAATCAACTAGATAAGAAGTTACATGACGCCCAGCTATATTCATTCTTTTTGTAAGATGAGGAAATGAATAACCATCAACAACTGGAACCTGCAATAACAATGTCCATACAAGAAGGCTAAACTAGCATTATTTACCAATAAACATTAATCACATTAAGATTTGTTCTTAAAGACAAATCAAATACAAAATGTCAGAAATGATAGAATAATTTACCACATGAGTCACACCATCACCCGAATCTATGACTAGTCCTGTTAGCAAACCTGTACCAGTGATAACACAGAATGTTAATCAATCATACGGTTGAGAACTTTACAAGCAGAGTATACTGAGTTGATAGATACCGTGAAAAGGGTTATCTTATTGGTAAAAATCAAACTCTCTTGTTTATATAAGCACGAACTCTCTCGTTTATACAAAAATAACCAACCAAGTAAATCACACGAAGGGGGTCTGGGAGGGTTGGGCATACGCTGACCTTACCCCTAACTAGGAAAGGTAGAGATGTTGCTTCTGGGAGACCCCCCCACCCCCCAAAGGCAAAGAAGAACAATATTTTTAGATATTCATTGTTTAAATTAAGCACCTTGCGCATATAAAGTTAGAACAGCTTGAATCTGAATGAAGAGACCAGCAAAGTTGTATTTCTCAAACATGGTTTCAACCTGTAATTCAAATGGTTCCAGAGCGAGAGTCATGCATCATTAAGGAAAGATTCCATCTTGAATCAAAATGAGAAAGTATAACACAAACCATCTTTTCACGGTTTTTCGATGGATTGAGAGGTGGATCTGTGAGCAAGATTTTACATTCTGTTGGATCAACCTAAGAGACACAGGTTGAATAGTAAAACCCTATCAGTTAACAGTAAACGCCATTACGTAGCATCTATTTTTGAAGCACAGAGTTATTTCATTCGAAAAACATTCATTTACATTGAAATCAAGAATAGCTACCTTCAGTTCATTGAAAAATGCATGGTCCCAGACATGTTCCATATCATCCCAGTTTTGCACAATGCCATTGTTGACAGGATAAGATATATCCAATTGGTGTCGCAACTTTAAGCAGGCATCTCCAACAATGGTATCCTACATTAGTAGAGGAAGAACGGTACTATACTACTATAGTAACACTGATGGTGATTAAAAAATGTACTCCTGTTTGTGAGGGTAACCTCCAGTAAAGGTTTATATTACTAGGGAAAAAGTAGTACATTGGTGAAAGTAATGGTTTTTTGGAGGCGGATATACTAACAATTTGCAATCAAAAAGTTGGATACAACCATTTAAAATTTTAAAGACCCGAAGATTACAAATATGAGAAATAATAGTTACCTTGATGTCTTGCTCCATAAGGGATTCTTCATATCGTAGCATCGGCCGTCCGACCACACAAGGGAAAACCGATGTGGGGAAATTCTCATTCGCAAAGCCACACTTGACATACTGCATTTACATTCACATAAAGGTATTCGGAGTGACTAACCATTCCTCAGAATGAAAACAAAAACCCGACATATACATACTAATCATTAAAAAACAATCCAGGAAGGTCAAGAGGGGGACTTGGGAGGATATAGATGTACGTGGACATTATCCCTACCTATAAATTTAGAGAACTTGTTTCTGTAATACCCTAGAAATTATAAATCAACAACAATGTGTGAGAATTATACAACACGTTAATCATACGGTCTATTACTCCATCTATTCACATATAACCGACTATTATGATTTTTGAGATACATCAAAAGTTGAATGAATGTAGACATGATTTATAATCATATTCATTCAACTTTTGATGTATCACAAAAAACATAATGATCACGCAAATGTGAATGGAGGGAGTATGTTTTAAGGATATGATATTACCCCCTTTCAAAAGGATTGTGGTGATCCAGTGAAGCTACAAATTATTTCAGGTATAGGATTTCAACCAAAGTGCAGATAATAAGCTAATTAAACAAACAAGGTAATGTATGCAACCAATTCTTATTCAAGCCATTTGAGGTCATTGAACGTAATGTAAGAGTTGAAGTAATAAAAAGAAAGACCACTGCATCAAAGAAGTGTAAGATGATTACCCCAGTGCCATTGTCGCATACGACTACTTTTTTGTTATCCATAATGTGATATCTCAGCTCATAAACTCCGACAGCCGTTCCCCTTTCCCGTTTCCAAGCCGATGCAAATTCCTTTATTATTTTTGTAAGAAAAACTACTGAGTGGCGGAAAACGAAGATGGCAGAGATGGAGATGAAAGGGAGCTATGAAGCTGCGTCGATAATCTGATCTGCAGATAAACTGTATAGTTCCCGGCTTCCGGGCCTGATTTGGTTGCTGTAACAAATCCGAGCTCAAATCATATGAAATCAATTCAATTACTCCGTTTCCGTTTTAACGGATCTCTGCTCCAGGTCCTGAAGCATATGAATCAATTTGAATTCAATTCTTCGTCTTCCCAAAAACGTGCGTGGGAAGTCATGAGGCATGTAATTGTAAATGTTGTTTCGCTATGGCGGGTCTTAAGCCCAAATCACTTCAATACTACTCTTTTGTGGAAGAAAAAATTTTGCCAAATCAAAGTGCAGACAGACCGGGAAAACCTACCAGTGCTCCTTCTCCGACTTGCACTGGTTCTCCTCAGGCGGATCACTTTCCTCTGTGCCAGTTCGACGATGGATATAAAGAGAGTAGGGGGTGGCAAATTTTGTAAATAATGAACTTAACTAAATATATTGAATATAATTGTTCATCTTATTTGATTATATTAAAGTCTATCTGATTTGATAGTTTGGTTTGCCTGTTTAGTAATAACGTTAGAAATTAACGTTAATATTTTTAAAAAAATTATCTACGGACAGCGTTTAGCGCTAGCATTTTCACAGTAACCTGTAAAATTTTATATGAAAGACTAACTCTAATCTCTAAGGTTATTCACAAACATACACTAAGAAGTACAATATATATTAGTAAAAGGCTTTGTTTGGTATACAGAATTTAAACTATGGAATTGGAATTAAGGACAATAATTCCAACTCTGTTGTTTGATACTACAAAAATATGTCGATTTGAAATTAGTAGTGCCACAAATAAATTGAAATTTCGAGAATTCCATCCAAATCAATTCTTAGAATTTCAACTTTCAATTCCGTCATTTCCGTGTACCACTAAAAATAGTTTGATTATATTTAACTCTTTTAGAATTTTCAAAATTCTATTTCATTGTTATAATACAAAGGAAAAATTACCCAAAATAATCTCAACTTTACCCGGTCTTTCAAAAATAATCTCACCTTTCAATGTGATGTATAATAATCCCAACTTTACTGAAATTTGTCAGTTTTGGGTCGCCGTTAAGTTTCTAACGGAGGATTAACGGAAATGCCCATTTTAGGCAACAAAATAAAAGTTGGGATTATTTTTGATGAATTTTTGTTTTTTATTTTTTTTTTTTTGAAATTTTTATTTAAATTTTTTGAATTACTTTCAACCTCCATTTCTTTTTCTTTTTTAAATATTATTCTTACCTTAGAAGAAAATAGATATAAAAAATAATGAAAATGAGAAAAATAACTAAAACCATGCAAAATTAATCAAATAAATAATGTAATCAATAGAAATTAAATAGAAACTGGTAAGAAATAAAATAAATATATACGGAGTGGTGGATTTTAACATTTTACACACTATACAGAATCTTAATGTACTACTTATTTTTTAAAAGAACAAGCCTTCTGGTAAAATTTGAATTATTGTAGATAATTTTTTCTAAAAAATAAGAAGTGATATGTTAATACTTTGTATAATGCGTAAAATATTAAAACCCACCCATGTATTTTTATTTTACTTTTACCAATTTCTAGTTAGTTTCCATTGATTATCTTATTTATTTTATTATTTTTGTATCATTTTAGTTACATTTCTCATTTTTTTCATTTTTTATATCTATTATTTTTATTTTTTAAACTAAGACTAAACTTCAAAAAAGGAAAAAAAACGTTGATGGGAAAAATTTAAAAAAAATTAAAAAAATAAAAATTCATCAAAAATAATCCCAACTTTCATTTTGTTGCCTAAAATGAGCATTTCCGTTAACCCTCCATTAGAAATTTAACGGTGACCCAAAACTGGCAAATTTTAGTAAAGTTGTGATTATTATGCATCACAATGAAATGTGGAATTATTTTTAAAATAGCGGGTAAAGTTGAGATTATTTTGGGTAATTTTTCCTAATACAAATTATGAATTGAGAGTAATTGAAGATTATAGTTTGTCCAGTGTCAAACTGGACAAATACTCTATGACGAAGGAAGTAGACAAATTCTATGGTGGACTTAAGATCCATCACAAACCTACATATGAACAAAATAAGCATTTTTACTACTTAAATAAGCATTTGTTTTTTTAAAGTTTTGGCATGCGTACTATAGTCCGACAAGATCAAATAACGACATCAATGTTCTCAACCAATCCCAATTGTTCAACAATGAAATACATGGAACCGACCCAAGGTGTCCTTTCCAAGTCAACCACCGCCAATACAAACGTGGCCACTGTCTTCCTGATGAGATTTATCCAACTTGATCTGTTTTGTGAAATCTTTTCCATGGCCCGTCGAACCAAATAGAAAATCTTTTCCAGCAAGAAAAGATGTCAAACAATTTTAATTTTTAAAAGACAGATGAGGTGTAATGAATCGACCACGACGAGCAATGAAGTGTGAGAAAATACAGAATTTGATGTGCACATGTATCATATTGCATAATACCATCTTAAAGCATGATGAAAATGCAATACCACGCGATTCCGTGTTGGTCCCTCTAGAGTCGTCGACGAGATTGTAATTTATGACTTGCGTCTTAAAAATACACATTTTAGACTTTGATATGATTTTGTCAAACACGCTGCTACGTTACAAAGTGGAATAACAATGATTCAGACAAAGATTTTTTTTAAAGATGCGTATTTTTATTTAGGTTGTGTATTTTTAAATTGTAGATATATTTCCTTTTTTTATTTAGTAAAATATTCTTTGTTACATTAATTAAAGAAATGTACGGAGTATTTTGTTTTTTACTAATGTAATGTATAGTCTGTTTTTATACATTAAAATGTACGCATTTTGTTTTGTTTTTGAAAATAATTAAATTATTTTTTAGGAAATAGATGGAACATATTTTATAACTTAAAAACTGATTTTTTAGTAAAAAGATGGAATTTATTTTTTTACGGAGTAACTAATAAAATATATTTAGTTTTTGAATTAATAAGATGTATTTTATTTTTTAAACTAATGAAATATAAGTTGTTTTTGAATTAATGAGATGTATTTAATTTTTTAATTAAAAAAATATGACGAGTACTTTGAGAACTTGGTGGAGGCCCCTCCTTGCAAACCTGAATACTTGAGTATTTGGGTAGTCTTGAGGTTACAAAATTTCAAAAAATTGAATACTTGAGCCCCCTCCACCCTTATGTATATATGCATGTGTGTGACACCATGTTACAAGAACACATTTTAAAATGTTGAGAGGATTAAAATTTAAATGTGGTACCGATATAGCGTGTTAATGTTATTTTTTCTGGGTTTATTATTACAACCATCGTAGAGTTTTTTTTATGATAACAAAAAATTATTATTATGAGCTCAAAGACGGGATCCCAAAGTTAGATGGAAACACATCACACATCTCCTGACAGACAATGACGGCCTTGTTTGGGAACTACGTTTTAAATTAGCGTTAGTTGGATAAAATTTTAATGATGTAAATTAATTACAAAAACGTTAAAGAATATCGGGCCTGTTTGAAAACAGCGTTAGCGTTTTGAAAAGGTCATTTACGAGCAGCGTTTAGCGTTTTGAAAGTAATCTGCACCGTTAAAATTTTATTCAAAATGCTAATGCTATTCTCTAACGTTATTCCCAAACATGCTCATCGTCGGATAGTCTTTTCAAAATGTTAACGCTTATTTCTAATACTGATGCCAAACAGGGCCGACATCTCTCGCCAAGGTATCTGGATCGCCAAGCCACCCTATTCAATTATAAAAAATAGAACCCATATCTGTTTGCAACATTTCTATTCTAGACCTGCCTAGTAAAAGCCCATTGCTCTTTTGAAACTACTCCCATTTTATAAGCGTGGGCCGATTATATTTTGGGTCAGGCCGAACAATTCTGGATCGTGTTAATTCGTAGGGTTAGCAGTATATAAAGCTTAGCTTCGTTCAGCACAGACTGCTCTAGGGTTTCGGCGGGCTTAAGGAAGTGAAAATGGCTCCGAAGAAAGGCGCTAGACCTCCGGCGGCGGTTGCACCGAAGAAGACGGAGAAGGTGGTGAACCCTCTCTTCGAGAAGCGGCCAAAGCAGTTCGGGATCGGAGGGGCATTGCCGCCGAAGAGGGATCTCTCCAGATTCGTCAAATGGCCGCAAGTCGTTAACATTCAGAGGAAGAGGAGGATCCTCAAGCAGCGTTTGAAGGTCCCTCCAGCTATCAACCAGTTCTCTAAGACCCTCGACAAGAACCTAGGTCAGCCGATTCCTTCTTTATGATGCGTTTCAGATGTTGAATTTGAATGCTTCTTTTTGACTCATTGTCATTAATTTATTGTGTATTTAATTATTTTTTTTGCATTATACGTTGATCAGTATCATGTCGAAATGTACTCGTTTTTCCCTTTTCGATTTAAGATCTTAGAATGAATATGAATCTTCATTTCTATTACTCCGCCCACCACAGGGTCAAATTTTACTCACTTTATTTACTCAATTTTAGTCATTTCATAAAATAATATAGTCGTGTCACCTCTAGTTTTGTAGAACTTTTCATGTAGTTTATTACTATATAAATTTTATTTTAAAATTTTACTCCTATAATCAATTAAATTGAATTGAAAATAAAGTCGGTCAAGCCTCGTAACGCGTAATGGGAAGATCATACATGGACGGAGGGAGTATTTTATTTAATTATCGTATAAAATTTAAATCTGCTATGTTTATGCGTAAAATTTATTTGTTTTAACAAGTAATTTAATTAAACATGCAATGAAAGACGACATGGTATGATTTTGCAAACAGTGAATGATACTAGAATTGTGAAACATTGGGAGTATTTGATTTGAATAATAAATTATGTGATCTCTCATACATTTCAGCGACAAACCTCTTCAAGGTGCTCCTCAAATACAGGCCCGAGGATAAGGCGGCCAAGAAGGAACGACTTCTTAAGAGGGCACAGGCTGAGAGTGAGGGAAAGGTTCCTGAACTGAAGAAGCCCATTGTTGTCAAGTATGGGCTCAAGCATGTCACCTACCTTATTGAGCAGGTTTTGCTTCTAGAATTGTCAGATTTGTTTTTCCCATTAATATTTTTAAATTTAGCATCTCATATGACATGTTCATTTTTGTAATTTCAGAATAAAGCTCAATTGGTAGTTATTGCCCATGATGTGGATCCTATTGAGCTGGTTGTCTGGCTTCCAGCTTTGTGCAGGAAAATGGAAATTCCTTATTGTATTGTAAAGGGAAAAGCAAGATTGGGTGCTGTAAGTATTAGAAATTTGGCGCCATCTTTTGCGTAATATTGTCTTGCTCTCACATTGACTGTTGTGAATTTGTTTATTATTTGGCTGGGAGAGGGTAGTTTTTATTGGATTCAATATCCTGTTAAAAGATATTTAAATATGTTGATTTGGTTTTGAGTCTACTATGTTAACCAATCTTACCTCCACCAAGAAATGCAGTGGAGGTAATATGTTACCTTTAGTTAAGGAGGACATCTGTATACTTTAAAATCATTTGTCTAATTCTTTAACTACCTAAGTAAATACTCCCTTGTCCTAAAATAAGGTTATCGTTTGGTTTGGCTGAAAGTTTTACAAAATGGAATTATGTGGTTGAAAGCGATGTCGTGTATATTGTAAGACACATAAAGTTTTTCAAAGAAAAAAATGAGTCCTTTTTTGGATGTCCCCGCAAGGTATTGTGCGTCTTTTTCAACATGAGTATTTCCCTTCTCAATCTATGAATAACATAGTTTAAGGTGTTCCTGATGCATTCTCACCTTTCATTTCAAAGCACAATCCCATTACTTAAAGTAAACATTTGTACTGCAACCCAAATACCCCTTGAGATGGTCACATGGCCATGTAGTTTGATGGTTAAGAACGAACAATATTCAAATCAACCCTTATATATACATCCTTGTGTTCTGATGTTGTTGTTATTATACTTTTCTCAGATTGTCCACAAGAAGACTGCATCAGTTTTATGTCTGACCTCAGTGAAGAACGAGGACAAGATGGAATTCTCCAAGATTTTGGAAGCAATTAAGGTGGGAACTGTTGAAAATACTGGAATGCCCAAGACTTAAAGACTTTTATTGTAAGAAAAAATTACTTGAGGATCTCATTTCATATTCTGTTTTCAGGCCAACTTCAATGATAAGTTTGAAGAGAACCGCAAGAAGTGGGGAGGTGGAATCATGGGCTCAAAATCACAAGCCAAGACAAAGGCAAAGGAGAAGCTTCTTCAGAAGGAAGCTGCTCAGAGATTGACCTGAGTATAATATTCTCTTTTAGTGTTTTTATGAAGTCGAAGTTTTGCTGTTATTCAGACACACTGAAACCCAACCATCTTTTCTTTCCCTTGTCTAAGCAGTGCTATATTTTGTTGTTGTTCCATTGTCCTCTAAATTATGCATACCAAGTATATTGACTTGCTCATGTTTGTGCTTATTTTGTCTTGCTTAGGATTTACTGCTCATCTTCTGTGTTACCTTTGTGCCTGGGATCTGGCAACGTCTCTTTCATATGACATATCTATTCTCAGGACTTAATTTTGGAGGATATGGTGCAAAGTTTCTATCTTTAGAACTAGAATGTGTTTAACTCAAATGATTTTTTTCAATCAAATACGTAGTTACTTTGAAAGCTCGTTAAAAAAATGAAAGCCCATTTTTAGGAATTTGGGTATATAATCTTATTGTAATTTAAGTTGTAGCATTTGTCTTGCAAAGTAGTAGCCACAAGATTTCCATTGCCCAGTTTGAATTGCCATATGATCGGTCTTAGACTCTTCATTTTGTTTTATTCTTTGTCTCAATTTAAATTGCAAGTTATTGTTTATGATAATTAATTGAAATTAATTTTAATTTTTAAAAGTTGTGTAGATTTTATTAATGAACTTTATATATATTCCAATATTACTCGTTTAAAGATTTGATGTAATTATACGGAGTATTATTTAATTCATTGAGAATATAAATATGGATAAAGAAATTGATTAAGAATGTGCTTTGTGAATAGTAAATGTATTTATCAGTCTAGATTGCACACTTGTAACTGGTAAGGTTCATGTTTGGGCGTGCTACTTATTGAACACTCTTGTAGAAGACACACCACTAATTTCAATTTTTTTTATAAACTTCAAATAGTTATGGTCCTGAGATTGTTTGTTAGTACTAATAATAAAATGGTATTAATGGAATATTCTTGGGAATTTTTAGAAAAATACATGACATAGAGGTTAAATACCTTAGGCTTAGAATCTATTAGATTTTTTTGAGAAATGGCTTGAGATTGAAACTTGTGCATCTCCTTAAGGATTAAGAAACTAGTGAGTTTGTTAAAGAAGAGAAAAATAGGACAAGTTGATGAAGTTAAGGGGAACTAGCAAATTACTGTTGCTTTCAAGGGATTACAAGTTTTGACTTTTGATAATAAATCATACTCCGTACCATTTCTCTTCTACTTGCCATAATGTATAGCTTGAAAACAAGTAACGCCTAAGGGGCTGTTTGGAAACTTCTGAATCGGTAAGTGCTGAACCAGTAAGAGGTCTGAACCATTAAGTGCTGAACTAATAAGAGGTCTGAACCATTAAGAGCTAGTATATTGCTTAACTATTCAGAGGCAAATGTCTGATCAATTCAGATAAAAGGTCTTAACCATTCAGACTCTGTATAATACTTAACCATTCAGAGGCAAATCTCTTAACCATTCAGACATCTGAACCATTAAGAGGCTGAAACAAACAGTCTGAACCATTAAGTGCTGAACCATTCAGACACCTGAACCATTAAGAGGCTGAAACAAACAGCCCCTAAGTGTGGAGAGATTTATGAGTTCGTTTTACACTTATTTTTATCGTCACATCTTACATATTTTTGAACTCATATTAAAAAGTTTTGATATTTTTAAATCATTTTTTTCTTCCTCTGTCCCAATTTATAATGCCTGTTTTGGTTTACGATGTTTGACCGAAATTATTTTCAAATCATTTTATATGTCAAATGGTAAATAGTTAAAAAATGAAAATTACATATCAAAATACTACATCAAAAGATCTACAAAACTAGTAGTGAGAATAATACTTTATTTTATCAAATTGTTAATGAAAATAGTGAAAGAAAGTGAATGAAGTTTGACACTGTGAATAGTGAACAGACACTATAAATTGGGACGGGGAGTATTAATTAAAGTTTATTTTTTCAATAAAAAGAGAAGTAGAATTCAATGAACCAAGAAAGAATAAGAAGTGTTTGATTTTAACAAGAAATTAAAATATATCTTTCTATAAGAGCGGAATTTGAATTTGGTGCAATATCTTTTATTGCATAAATGAGATTTTGATTTTCGTGTAAATATTTTTAAACGGCTGGTTTCTACAGCCACTCAAAAAGAGTCACTACGGAAGCCACTTAGCGAACTAGGACACCTACAATCTTCTGTTTGCAAAATTGACTCTCCTAATCTTTCCGGTAACCTCCCACCCGATCACAATCCCAACTCATTTCCCAACCGCGTCAATTATGGGCTGCAAGTTTATTTGACTTTGGAGTAAGAAATTTTGACAATATAGATGAAGGATAGCAACTAGTCATTGCACGTACTAAAGGGAAAGATCATGTTCCAATTTCATTTCTCGTAGTTGTTAAATTAAGGGTATATTTGGTGAGAAAGAGAATATGAGTTTTGATGTATCCGGATATCAAAATCCATTTCTAGTATTTGGTGAAGCCAATAAATATATCAAATTCAATATCTCTTGATATCATAAATCTTCAAGATGGAGAGTTTCAATATTTTCCAAATTTGGGAGTTTGATATCTCTCTTAAACATTGATCATTTCCCGCCTCTAGCTACCATTGTCACCGCCAACCACCTATATTGTCAGTCATCCTGCTTATCACTAATTAAATCATGATTTTAAATCTCCCCAAACAAGTTTGATTTAGATTTCAAAACTAATATCATTTCTCATTGATTTCATAACTCATTTCTTATTATATCTTTAAATTTCACCAAATTTCATCTCGTGTACACGAGAAGCCATATATATGGGATTCTTTTTTTTATTAATATCGTACGTCTAATTGTGCTAAAATTGGCATATGAGGCAAAGCATACAATTCCTTGCCACTATAGCATTGAATTCTTTATAATGCTTCTCTAGTATTAGTACTTTACCCTATAAATATCCCCTAAGGCCTGATAATTATATTACTCCGTACGTACTCCGTAAAATTACTCCTACTGCATATATTCCATCTCTTCTTGTTATTTAAGTTCTCTTCAATTCATCTTATTGGCTCTGATCTAATTCGGTTAAGTTTTAATTTAATCTGATAAAAATTATATTTAAAGCTTTTTTTTACTTCTGATCTGATTTCAATAAGAATAAAAAAAATGAAGAGAACAGAACAATTTCTAAGCTCCTCTGCACAAGATGCTATATTCACTCTTTTGTTCTAAAACATTTAACTACGGGGTATTTTTCACTTACAATACTCCTCCGTTCTAATGTATTTGTCTAATTTGATTATTTGAGTCAAACTGGACAAAATTTAAATGAGACCGGAGTAGTACCTTTTTTTGTCAAAGAAAAGTAAAAAAACAGGGGTAAATTCTTTTACCGGAAGAACATATTCGCATGGGGTAAATTCTTTGACACAACACAATTTAATCTTTATATATACCGGGATTAATCTTTAACTCTTCATTAATTATACGTAATTAACTCTTCATTAGAAAAACGTAACATGAATTTCATTAGGAAAAAGAATGCGAACCCGCAAGGCGGGAAGCAGCGCAGGGACGGCTGGGAGAAGCCAATCTCCCACGGCGAAGAAGACTATTCGGCCGCCGCCGCCGCCGCCGTGCAGCAGCAGAAGCACAAGCCGGACCCCGCCGCGATCGTAAGGATAAGGCTGCCCCGGACGCCTCCTCCAAGTTTGTAGGAAAGACGGCGGTGATGAGCCAGCAGGACCGTCGCGTCGATCTACCTGCTGTCAGCGAGCGGCGCATCGCCGCCACGGCCACGGCGGCGACCGCGGCTGTTTATTTTTCCGACGAATCCGGTGGCGATCCTTCTATCGATCATAAAGCCGAGGCTTACATTGCCTCTTTCCGGAACAAGCTTAAAAATAAAAACGACTGATGGAATGAAAGATATTGGGTTTATTATTACTCCGTACTTGTGGGTAACATTATTAATAAATAAAGAAAATGGTAATGGTTTTCTTAAGAAACAAAAAAAAATGTTTTTTTTTGGTTTCTTAAGCATTAACATTTTCCTACTAATTAATACTCCATAATAAACAATGAAATAAATGTATTTATAATCATGCATGTGACTAACAGCAAGTTAAATATTAAGAAATTAATTAGAAATGGTTTTACTTTGGTTATTCTTTCATGATGATCATCAAAGAAAGAAGCCACCATTTCTAATTAAGTTTCTAAAAAACATGTATGCCATTAAGCCAGGTCACATGATAAAAAAAAGAAAAAGAAAATATATGCTCTTGTGATGAATATCATTTGCCAATTTCTTATCATTTATTTTAAATTATAAAACTTTTGAATTAGTTTTTAAGTATATAAATTTTATTTTTTAATTTTATTATATCTACAATCAATTAATTAAATTAAATTAAATTGAAATCAAAATTGATCAAACTACGTAACTAGAAACTTTAAGAATGTTTTAGAACGGAGGAAATATAATAATTGTGTTGATAATTATTCGGACTTGGGTGTGCTTTGTCATGCTACCATACTACCCATATGATCTTTGATCTTTTAGATTGAACATCGAATCTTCGGGTAAAAAGATAACTAGTGTGCGCACAAAAGGATTATTCTTTATCTTTAAGTTAGTCAAAACTACTTATAAGCTATTTTTAATTTAAAAGTTAGCTGATGATGTATTTTTTTGTTCTTATAAGCTTATAAAGTTAAACTTATATATTCAACTCGATATTTCCAACCGATGCTACTGCTCCACCGTTCATCACCACCGTCAGCCAGCTTGATATTCTTGTCCGCTGATTAGTTTTTTTATTTGTCAAATTTTTAGAGGTGTAGTTTGTTTTACTTGCACGTAGGTAGGTAACAAAGTTGATGAATAAGGAGGCAATTCAACCCTTGAAGGCATCGAGGATAAGAGGACGTCTTGATACAAGACTATGGAGTTAGACTAATTAATACTCCCTCCGTCCCATGAAATATGGGATGTTTTGCTTTTTGAAGAGATTTAAGGGAGTGTATTTTGGTATTGAATTTCCAAAAATGTCCTTTGATGTGATGGGTAAAAGTAGGATTTGATGGGTAGATTATTAGTAAAAAGGTATGATGTGATAGGTAGGGTATGAAAAAGTAAGGGGTAAAAGTGACTTTTTAATAGAAATGAGAAGTGTTTTATGGGACGGATGAAAAAAGAAAGGAGAAAGGTTTTATGGGACGAATGGAGTATTTCAGTTTGAATCTATTATATTTTTGGACAAGAATCCAAAGTTGTATTTTGAATTATGTACTTAAGCTTTCACACCGTTTATATTATTACTTCGATGAATATTTGAAGATTGTTTTTGAATTAAGTATTTTAAAATATTTTGAAAATATTTGTGTTTGGATGGCAATATTGTAACAATCCGGTATTCTAATTCAACCATTATTTAAGTAAATTCATACTCCGTATAATTTTAATTCAATTTAACCTAAAATCCTATCAATTTCATCAACAAAAAAAGTGAAAAAAACCTTTAAGTGTGCTGGCAGAGGAGTGTGCTGGCGGAGGAGGAGGACACCGGCTGGAGGAGGAGGAGGAGGAGGACGACGGCGTCTGGCGGAGGAGGAAGCCAGCGAGTAGAAGCTGACAGAGGACGCGGCTGGCGGAGGCCGGTGGTGGCGGAAGAGGGCTGGACGACGAGGGCGCTGGCGGACGAGGGCGGATCGGAGATGTGGAGGCGGACCTTGGGAGGAGGAAGCCGGCTACGTGCGGCGGTGGAGGAGGCGGAGATGGGGCGCGGGAGCTTCGGCGACGAAGGGAGGCGTGGGTTCCAGCGTCAGGAGGTTAGGGTTGGGTTGTGTTTGTGTTGTTGTCCCGTAAGGGAAGAAGGACCTATTTTAACTCATACCGGCATAAATGTTTAATTTTGCGCTAAAATTCTGCGACGGGTAAGACCGGTCCGTCGCTAATTAGCGACGGTTATTGGTTTCCGTCGCAGATATTGTCGACGTTACCAAATTTTCCGACACCCATCGCAGATTTCTCGCAGATCTGCGACAACGCTTGGTCCGTAGCAGATTTTCGTTGCAATTTTGACAATTTCTTGTAGTGGTGTGTTACAGAACTCGCGTGTGAATGTTATGATACATGACTTTAGATAAATATATATACTTGCACTGGACGACCTTGCGATTAACACACTTTGAAAATAAATCTAGCATAGACTAGTGATACAACATTTTTAATTCTTTAGAGATCATTCGTACAATTTTTAGGTTTAAGAAGAATTCACGGTTTTGTAGAAAGTTTAATTTAGAATTAAATGAAACAAAAAACTCGTTTATGCTAGATTGTTCTCTCCTAGTCCCAAAGTTAGTTGTCACATAACTATTCACAATATCAAAGTTCATTCACTTGTTTTCTTTTTTCGTTATCTATTTGGTAAATTAATATAATACGTCATGTCACCACTAAGCTAATTTTATAGATCTTTTTATATACTCTGTACTTTTTAAATATATAATTTTATTTATAAATTTTACACCATTTTAAATATAAAATGATTTGGAAACAAATTCAGCTAAACATCTTAGACCAAAGGAAGCTAAGCATTTAAGATTAAGACGGAAAGCCTAATACTTCCTCCGTCCGTAAAAAATTACCTTCAATCCTTTGATTAGCGTCCATGACTTTTAAAATAATTATATTTACAAATTGGAAAAAAACTAAAAAAAATTTATATTTAAAAAGTACATCAAAAAAATCTATGAAAAAAGATGTAACAAAATATTTTATTCTATCAAATAATTAATGATAATATAGATATAAATAAAAATTATCAAAAACCAAAATAATTCTATTTATGGAGAAGCTTCCATTGACCGATCCGATTATTAGTCAATAACTAAAGACGGGTCTTCCGGATAACGTAACTCACAAGTTATTCGGTTCTCCCTAATCCCTATCATAATTATTAATAAAACACCCCTACCTACAACTCCAAAAGAAACTACGTACGCAGTTTTCCGTCCCAATTAATCCCTTTTGTCTCCAAATAAACATTAATTACTAATTAAATAAAATGGATATTAGATATTGATATAAGAATAAATTTATTGCATTTATTCTATAAAATATAATCAAATTATAATTTTATCTAATTAATATACTCCGTACCATATAATGTTTTAAAAAAGTACCACATAATTTTTATTTAATTATAGAAAAAATGTTGAAAGTGGTCGCCTCCAAAAGGACAAAATTAGACGTATATACTCAGCAACGATTTTTTTAAGTATATTATGGTGAAATTTAAAAACATTACTAAAAAATCTAAAGTATAGAATTAATTAATCCAAATATATGCAGTATAAAAACCCAATGAATTGAACTAGCTTTAGATATAACCAAACGCCGTAAAATGGGGTCGAGCCAGAGCAGAAAAAAAAGGTTCCGCAAATATTATACCCTCACCACAACCACCACCTCCGCCGCCACTTATGAAACCCGCGCCGCCGCGACGCCCTCGGCCCACTTGACGTTCAGGTATGACGACGATCAAGTCAACAACGGAGCCACCAATGTCGTCACCACTGTTGACCGCCGGTCAAACAGCGGAGCTCCCCGTGGCGGGGTCGGTGGCGGCCGGGTTGATCACGAAGACAACGACAACGACGAGTACATCGATCTCAAAGCCACGGAATACATCGCAAGGGTGCGGGAAAAGCTGAGGTTGCAAAATGAATCCGAGGATGGATTAGAGAATGCGGTTAGGTCGGAGTGGTCTGCCGGTGGTGGTAGCGGCGGCGACGATGTGGTCTCTCCACCGTGTATTGATGCACAAGCCGAGGCCTACATCTCGTCCGTTCGCGAAAAACTTTTACTCGAAACCCACTCTAAATGAATTGAATTGAAAATAAAATTACTAAAGTCATATGTGAAAACTTTATTGGGCACAAGGAATATATTACCTTGCATGCACATTACTATGAAGGGCATTATAATCATCCATGCATCCTAATCTCATTTCTTTTTTGGTACACAAAATTGTCGTACTAAAAAAAAGGGTGATGTCCTCCAACTTCTAATTTGTCTCATTTCTTGTCCCTTTATCGAATACTCCCTCCGTCCCAGAGTATTTGTCTAATCTAACTTTTTTCGAGTCAAATTGGACAAACTTTGAGCTTCAATTAAATAAAAACCGTAAAGTATTTTAATATAAAAATGACTTTATTGGATTTATTGGAGTAATATTTAATACAAATTGAGAGTAATTAAAGTTTAAAGTTTATCCAGTTTGACTCGAAAAAGTCAAACTGGACAAATATTCTATGATGGAGGTAGTACTTCACAATGTTTTCAATTTTTTAATTTAATTTAGAGCGTAGCGTATGAATGATAATAAAAATAACTTTAGGTAATGTTTGAGAACTAGAAATCATTTGAAAACTTAGATTTCAATTTTAATATTTGAAATCTCATAATCTCAAATTCCAAATGTTCTTTGGGAACTCATAAAATTTTATTTCTAGAATTTAAATTTCGATGTCGACAAAGACGGTAACAGAAGCCGAATAATGATATGTATGAGAATAATGAGATTGTTGTTGAATAAAGAGATATCACTCTTTCATTACAAGTTATAAATTAAAAAGAAGTTGAGCTTAAATTTGTAAATTACATGATGAAGAGAGGTAGATTTGTAGTAAGCTTAATTTTAATGGGGAATTTACTTAAATAACACTAAAACATAATGACTTTCCCTAAATAGTATCATATGTGTTTTTCTTCTCAATGTAGCACTTTTAGTCATTATGCATTAGTCATTATTCAAATAAATATTCGTTATCACTGGACATTATGGACATTATTAACAGCTATTTAGGGAATAAAACAGTTTAAGTGCTATTTTGGGAAATGATTTAAGTTTTGGTGCTATTTAGTGCAAATATTTCTATTTTTAAATTAAAAGAATTTGGTTTGTATCCAAATTCAAATTATTTGAGTTTCCAAACAAGTAATTTGGATATTATATTTTTTCAAAAACATCTACTCATATGTTTAGCTATGTTGTAACTTTAAAATATATATATATATATATGTGAGATAATTAACGAATTAAACAAATACAAAACGAATTAATAATCCAATAAAATAAGCGTACGTACAATTAAGTTGTGTACTAACGAAACAAAAAAATAATAAAATAAAAAAGATACTCGGTATATATAGCATGCAGCATAAAAGCATGGTTTCACTAGCTAGCTTGCAAAAGCATCTACATACTATATAAAATTATAGGACCATGCTAGGGTACCACCACATGAGTGCTACTATGGGTGCACCCATGCTTCGCGCAGACAAACACATACGATAATTGTCTGTGTCGCACAGACAATTATCGTCTGTGTTTGTCTGTGCAAAGCATGGGTGCACCCATGGTAGCACCATGTGGTGGCACTCTAGCATTTTCCAAAATTATATTCTTTTCTTCAAATATAAATGAACAAATAAATAAATCTGATCTCCGTCGTCGTCACATTTCCAAAGATAAGTACGTAAAAAAGCAAAATCCACTCGTAACTCATCAAACACGCCATTCTTTATTCCTCCACCCCATCTTCGATCTTCTCCCCTAAGCCACTAGCTAATTAGTACTCTGTGTATTACATATGCACCCTTTTTTTAACCGCAATATTTTTTTGACATTAGAAAAAAAATTAATAAGCCAAAAATGCTTAGATTTTGGGGTGCATAAAATACGCTCTTGGTAAAATTGATGGTCTCTACCTCTTAATTCCCTTCTAAACCCCAGCTCAGCCTCAATTCCTATCCACCCCTGGGGAAAAAGGGACAAGAGGATGGGTCCGGGTGAGGAGTTCAGAAAAAAAGTGAAATTTTGTACTAAATATGACTAAAACACAAGTCATTTCTCAATGTAGGACTTAAAACGGTTTTATTCTCCAAATAGGACTTGATAATGTCTAGTGAGAGAAATAATGTTCAGTAATGATGGACATTTAGTTGAATAATCACTAATTGATAATGAACAAAATTCTTACATTAAGAAATAATAACATATGGTCATATATTGAGAACGTCATTATGTATTAGTCATATTTAAGTAAATTTCTATAGAAAAAAGGTAGAATTATCAATTTTATCATTGAAGTACCGTAGGTGTTGGAGTCATTGTCGAGTCGCTTTTTTCGAAGGTAAAACACCAAGGTGATTTTTAAAATTATTTCTCTCACATGCACCCTCTTTTGCTTATCGCTTCATTTAATTTTAAGCATATTTTTTACGTAGTAAAAGTTTTTTTCTTGAAGGGTTATAAAAGTTACAAATGGTGTAGCTAAAATTTATTTAAAATGGATTTATTCAAAGTTTAAAAACATAATTGCCTTGTGACGATCGCGAACCAAAAAGTCTTGTGAATACACACCATTCTCTCCAAAATAATTTTTTTGTTGTGTTTTATGATATTTATTAGCTGTAGTTATTTTGAACAAAGAGAGTATTATTTTTGTGTTCAATGTAAAATCATGTAAGGTTGACATCTAGTACGTAAAAGATTAATAATACGGAAATTTGATTCAAGTTTTTCTTAATTATCGTTAACAGTGATCGTGAAATGACCATAGTACCCCTGACGTAGTATTTGAGATTCTCCATAACCATTTATTTATCTCCTACAGCCTGCACCTTGGATTGGTATCTAGTACCTCCGTCCCTAAATAAACTTTCTTTTTCGTTTTTTCTTTGTCCCCAAATAAACTTCTCTTTTCCCTTAAAAAACCCCTTTTACCCCTTACTTTTTCATACCCTATCTATCACATCATACCTTTTTACTAAGGATAAAACTATTTGTACCCCAAACTTTTGTACCCCATTTTGTACACCGCGGGTTTGCACCGACATTTTGTGTTGGTATAAAACTAATTTTTGTTAACGCACCAACATTTTGTGTCCGTGTAAATTTTTATTAAAGCACCAACACTTCTGTCGGTGTAAACTATTAAAATGTTTGTGTATAACTGCGGTGTACAAATGGAGTACAGTTTTTGGTGTAAGTGTAGCATGACCCTTTTACCAATAATCTACCTATCACATCTTACTTTTACACATCACATCAAGGGTATTTTTGGAAAGTCAACACAAAAATATTTCTCCCTTAAATTCTCAAAAAGTCAAAAATGGAAGTTTATTTAGGGACAGAGGAAGTAGTGTGTGTGTGTGTGTGTGTGTATATATATATATATATATATATATATATAGCATACGACGTACGTAACATGAATAACATATCTACTTAATTGCTTCGAAACAATTTTTTTTGGGGGGGTTTTGTTTTGTTTATCAACCGAGAGACAACAAATTCGATCACTTTGTTACGTTAAGTACGTACGTAATTATTGTAGTCGTCGTTCGTTCGTACTGAGTAGTATATTATTACCCTTTGGGGCGCAAGAAACTTATTGAGGAGAAAGAAATTAAAAGGTAGGTGGATCTATCAGATAGAGGTTAGTTAGTTATATTAGTTATTTATTGTTAGTTATATACTCGATCTGATCTCTTCGTAGGAGGAGCGAGCGGATGAATGTGGACTGGGGGCCGGTGGTGGTGGCGGTGGCGATGTTCATACTGCTGTCGCCGGGATTACTGTTCCAGTTGCCGGCGAGGACGAGGTGCGTGGAGTTCGGGAACATGTACACCAGTGGCATCTCCATCTTGGTTCATGCCATCTTGTACTTCTGTATCTACACCCTCCTCACCGTTGGCGTTGGCATCCACATCCGCTACAATGTTTGATTTTATATTATTTTTATATGTATTTGAATCCATTCCACAATTCAGTCTATATACACTTTGGAGTATTCATCATTAGAAATAGCACTTAAACTGTTTTATTCCCTAAATATTACTCAATAATGTCCAGTGATGGCGAATATTTGCTTGAAAGTGCTACGTTGGGAAGAAAAACACATGCTGTGCTATTTAGGAAAAATTATTATATTTTAATGCTATTTAAGTAAATTCCTATTATCATTATTAGTAATCATTTATATTATGTATGGTACATAGTCTTATAGTTACAAATATACTCAGTCTCACAATTATCTTTCTGCTTGTTTTTTTGTTATAAAAAATTTCTAATTTTGACCGTAAAATATGAGAAAAATATACTCAGTTATGATATAAATTTAATAGCAATAGATTCATTTTGAAATTAAATTTTTAAAATATCATATTTTTATAGTATAAAATTATATATGTGTATAGATTGAGATGTTAATAGTCAAAATATTGAATTGGAACCCATGAAAAAGCAAACATGAAGAAAATTATGGGACAGAGGGAGTATATATACATAAGTTAAATCTATATATATTTACATTGTTGTAATGTTTGAATGATTATCATCGCAATGCTTGTTGAAGGAAATGCTCGATCTTGATATTGGAAACCATTCGCGCGGTATATATATTGGGAGCACTCCAATGCTACAAGTTTTTTAATTAAATAGATGTAGGTTAATGAAAATATATAACATGTTAGTCAAACTCCAAAAAGTTAAACAAAAATGAATATTTTGAGGGTGTATAAAACAAGCAAACTTGCTCATTAAAGAGGAAGTTGATCTTTAGAATAAAGCACGGATTGGAGATGAAGCTTATTCACGAGTTCACCTCATCCTGATGTAAATTGGATGGTCCTTTGTGCGTTTTTAGCTTGCGTACTAAAATTTTTAATATTATTGTACAATAAAGAGAAACAGATTATAGAATCTCATCCATCATTTCATCCAACTAAATAACTAATAGCCCCTCACCAATTTTACTTAGAATCTGCTCGTACTATATGTAGAAAAAATCAAAGATGAGCTACTAATTAAGAGTAGTATTATTTTTTTGGCTAACCGAAATCTAGAACTAATTGAATAATTGATCATCTTATATCTAAAGATATCTGACTAATGGGTTTTGGAAGTGGAAATAAATGTGTTTTCGAGAGATTTTGGCCTATCAAAATGTTGGAATTTAAAATTCTTCCATCGACAAGTTTGGAACTTTTGTTTGGGTAATTAATATTTTTTTTTGACATAATACCATAACCTTGTTGATCAAAAGTTCTAACCCACCATCAAAAGCAAGGTGAAAGAGTGTATGTAGCAATAACTTGACATTGAAAACCATGGGATGTATGGACAATGAAGTACTCAAAGGAGTTTGATTGGCAATAAAATAAATCCATTGGAATTTTTTATGTAATAGACTTCACAACAAGCATTTGCTCCCGCATATTAGTGCATTTGCATTTAGAAGTACATATTTTAACCATCTCCAGTTTAATTACCGACGGTAAACACCTTATTAAAATGTGGGAAAATTTGGACTTCCATATGGAAATTGTGCCCAGAGAAAAGACTGGTTGGACTGAGTTGGACGGTTAAATTCGGGTTAAGGTCACTTTACAACCTCATCTCTCACTCAAAAATATAACTGGTCAATCCAATGTAATGCAAGGAATAGAATCAAGAATGAAGTAGAAAGAACAAGGGAAAAAACAAGTAATAGAAAAACCAGCCTCTGAATCTCTTATCTGTGCCATAGTAAGATACAGGCTAAACAGCGATCATCAAATTCATCAGTCGATTTGAATCAAAACTGAAATATTAGTAGTAACCAAGACAAACAAAACACATTCGAAACCAAAGTATCATCTGACACCCAGAAGCATGCCAATTTTCTTCAATTGTTTTTGTTGACATTTCCATCATCAATGAAACACAAACCCCAATAGACACTAGTATCCAGAGCCTTCATGCATAGTTCAAGCGGAATATGTCGTTGTGCACGTAAAAACTTCCATTGGGTGTTGGCATCAAGTGAAACATCTGTAAGTCCAATGCAAAGACATACAAAAAAAGGAAGAATGAGTTTGAATAGAGACCATGTAAATCACAAGTCTGAAATATGACAAAATATGACATAGAGACAGCCCTTGTAGGGCGAAAAAGTATTTTGATTTCAACACATGCAAATCCCAAAACCAAACAAGCCCCAAAAGTAACCTTTGGGGAAATTAAGGAATTGAGAAGATAAGTTTGTAGCTAAGATGCAATACCACATGAAATTTGAAGAAAAAGATTCAGGCAATAGTGCAATAACACATGTAACTCAGATTCCCCATTTCACAAGGGGATTTTCTTCTTCAGAAAAAGGAGTCCATAGTACTAGGATTCTAGATTATGCTTTGATACTAATTCGATTAAAAAATTGTGTTCCGACCCCAAAGACAGACTGACATCATTTCAACTCTCTTCTAACATCAAAACCAGAGTGTTGGTTGGGCAATGAAGATGGCCTATGAACAGAAGTTTGAGGTTACATAAATGGGGATTGTGTAATTGGTTCGTGGTCGCACCTTGTTGGATAAAATAAGGAATATGATATTCTATTCTGAACTAATGGCAATGCCTAATATAGATTATGAAGACTGTGAACCCGTGACGATAGTAGAGACTAGAGAACTTCTTCTAGAAGAGACCAAGGGAGAGACGGACCACGCAGGAGAAGTTTAGGTAGGACATGGTGGTTTTAGACCAGACTTAAACCTTTGATGGTACTTCTTAGAGGCCATGTATTAGGAAACAAGCACTCTGGCCCTTAAAGTATGGGTAAAAAAGGTTGTGAAATGTTGCACAGACCATACTATAGAGTGCGATATATGTAGATGAAAATTTCTAACCTAGCTTTAGTAAGATAAAATCTGTATTGCGACTCCAAACAATCCCACAGAGTATAACTATGCCTCCTAGAATTAACCAAAGAAATATCTCTACTCTAAAACATGATACCAGAAACTCCATACATTACACATAATGAGATATACAATATGCAAAGGAAACACAAACTTTAAAAAAAATAATTATAGATAACTTCAGGCCATTAGATCTCTGATTTTATACCCCATGAAATAAATCAGAATGTAGTTTATATTCCTAAAGCATTTCCCAGCACTAGCAGTATAGATTTATTAAAATAATCATCTCAAATTTGTTTCAAGTTATAAAGGACGCATGACCACAGGAGTTCATATTCGGAAGAGATAAAAAATTGTGCCATTAAAAAAAGTGAAGTGACAGTTAGAAATGAGACCAACAGAAATCTGAACGTTTTTTTTATCATCAATAACAGATCTGAAATCTCATCCGAAATCAGCAGCATCGAATCAAAGGATCAGCGCTTCTCCTGACGAAATAGATCTCGGAGTTTCAAATATAAGAACAAAAGAATCAACACAAAAGACGTCGTCACAAACAAATCGATCAACGAAAATTCGAATTACACAACTTAAACAAGGCACCGGAGATAGACGGATCGGATACCTGGCTGAACTTGAGGGCGTGCTGCTCGCCGGCGAGTTGGAGGCTGCCGCTGACGAAGACGATGAAGCCGCCTTGAGTGACAGATGGCTGGCAGTCGACGGTGGTGACGTTGTGCTTGCACTGCTGGAAGGGGAGGCCGGTGAGCTTGCTGACGATGTTGGCGGAGCCGAGAATCTTCTGGCCCTCGAATGTCAGCATGGAGCCTTCCTGGTAGAGACCGGCCAGATTTGCGCGATTGGAGTCGAAGGTGGAGTAGTAGTGCTCGACAAACGCCTTCGCCAGTGCGTCCGGATCCATTCTCCCGATCTCGATCGATCTGATCTCTCCGCAAAATCTCAGCCTGATCTCTTCGCTCTCTCTTGTTTTATGGATCGACGTTTGCGGCAACTTTACGCTAAGGTTAGGCTGCCAATCCTTCCGGGCTCTGATATTAAAACCCTTAACGATACACCAACCAATACCCCACTACATTTTTAAATGGGCTATGACCGAAAGACCCGCTTCCAAACTTTTGGTAAACAAAATCGGTTTAATAATTTTTTAATATATTCCTTTTAGCACTAATGATATTTACTTTAAATTGGCTTAAGATTCATTCACAAAATCACAAGATTTAGACGCAAAAAAATTGTATGAAGTAAAATCTATATAATTATATATATATTATATGCTTTCAAAAAAAGAGGAATCCGAACAAGTTGGAATCAAAATCGGCCAAAATTATTGGAAATCGTTTGGATTACGATTTTTAGAAACCGAAGATGCTGATATAGAAACCGGACTCTAGTATAATAGTAGAAAAGTGATTAAAATTTTTAGTTATTAATTATACGAATAATACGATTCTTGAAGTGATTTCGGAATCAAAATCGTTGGTTATGGGTTTGTCATTGGTCTTATAATAAAAATAAGTTCATTTATCTCTACTTTTAAGTCATTAAATATATAATTAACTTTTGAGTTAAGTGCACAGTTTATCCCTGTACTCTTTAGAAATTGCATGTTTTACCCCTGAACTTTAAAAAGTGCATCGATTACCCTTGAACTCTCCGAAAATTGCACGATTTACCCCTGCAGACTAAAAATGCACCAAATACCCTTGAACAAATTAAAATGTTGCATCGTTGGTCATAAACTATTAGATAGAGAGGGTGTTGCTTCCACGCACAAGAATTGTGAATATCATTCATCTGACCCTTGTGAATTTTTCAAAATATCTTTACCCAAAATTGTCATCTTTATTTAAATGTTCAGGAGTAAACCTTACAATTTTCGAAGAGTTCAAGGGTATTTGGTGCAATTTTTATTGTTCAGGGGTAAACCGTGCAATTTCTGAAGAATTCAGGAGTATTTGGTGCACTTTTTAATGTTCGGGGATAAACCATGCAATTTTCAAAGAATTCAGGGGTAAACGGTGCACTTAACTCATTAACTTTTTATAAAGGTGATTAAGCATAAATATGTAAGTGGCAGAGAATGATTAATTGTTGAAAGAGATATTAAACTCTTATTATGCTACAAATATGCTACATACTTCACACAAAAAGTTTTTCAAACTTATAATATTTAGATGATTTTTTGGGATACTTTTTCGTGGAAAATCATCCATAACACATTTAATTTTTAAACGTTCATAATGAATTAAAATTAGTAATCATGTATTTTTTGGAACCTGAATTTAGAAATTAAAATAAACTAATTACAAAAAATTTAATTCACTATATATAATAATAAAATGGACGTGCAACGCACGAGTACGAAATCTAGTTTTAGAAAAAAGTAAGATATTTATGCAATATCATTAAAATTTTATCCAAAAATAAAATTTTATACACTAAAAAAGAGTAGCAAAGTATATGATTTTTGAACACTCTTACATTAGCGGGTTGGTCAGATCCGATACGGTCGGGATTGACCCATTTTTCGTAGGTCATTTCGGGTCCCGTCAACTTCGAGTTTGGTTATCAAAACTTTTCTTTAAAATCCAGTATTTTTGAGTCGGGTTTTGGGTCAAAAACAAATCGGAATCTTTTTTGCGAGATTTAATTATCACGGTACTTAAGAATAATTGAAATAGTAATTAATCACAATAATAATTTAAATAATAATAATAATCATTATCAACTAATAACAATAATAATTAATATTATCACATTATTAATAATTTTAAAATAATTAATAATAATTAATAATAATAATAATTTATTATCATCATACTCAATAATAAAAGTACAACTTCCTAGTAATTAATAATAATTATAATAACAATAATAATGATTAAAATGATAATAATCATTATTGTTTTAATGAATAATAATTAATAATGATAATAAAAATTAATAATAATATTTATTTGTAAATATAATAATACAAATAATTATTTTTAATAATGCTAAGAATAAAATTTAACAATAGTTATTATTTTAATTATAATTAATAATGAAAATAATCATTAATAATGATAACACATTATAATACTAGTAATCATAATAAGCATAATAGTAAGTTATTATAACAATTATTACAATTACTAAAATAAAAATGATAACAAAAAATACTAATAATATTAATTAGTAATTAAAAATATAATTACTAATAATAAAATTATTATTGTAAATATTATGAATAATGATTATTAATAATAATTAAATTTTTATTATTATTACTCTATCTATTTGAACTTGAAATAAAAATCCATTCAGATTAGATCAATTTTGATTAGATCAAATTTATTCAGATCAGATGAGACCAGTCTTAAAAAGTTTAGATCTATCAGCCTTAAGTTTGTCATTTTGTATATCTGACTATCTGTTATTGATTGTGGACATAAAATGTGTGCAGTGTTTCAAAATATATTTAATCCTTAATTATTAAAAATTACTTCAACTCTTTTATCCCAAAAAAATCTTCATAATGTAGTTTTTGTTAAAATGTTAGAAGCTTGTTTATGAATTGTAATAATATACATTAAGGTATCATGTAAATTTAATATAATTAAATTCATATAAAATTGTAGTTTTGATATACTATGTATCAAATTTTTATATCTATTTATTTCAAAGTATTTTTATTAATGGTCATAGTGTGACCAAAAATATCAAAACAACAATGAATAGTTTGGAGTTTATCATTGAAAACATCGTACGTCCAAAGAAATGAAATAAAGACTTTTTATCTTGCACATTTTAAGTTTAATATGCCAACCATGAGTTCTTCTATGGTGCCCTTTGGGTGTATATTATTTTTGTGGATCATTTTGTATATACTTTTTTTTATTTTTTATTAAAAAAGACATTTATTTAAACACTAAAAACATGTTTATTGTGCTCATATGTAACTTAGGTCCACCATAAAATTTGGTTTTAACCAAAAGCAAGGCGTAGAATATGGGTTGGACTTTTTGTACTTTTAGTTTTTCGTTTCCGTGAGAATAAGACAAGGAATTTCTATTCTTAAAAAAAGAAAAAAAAAAGAAAAACAGAGAGAGCTTAAAGATTAAAAAGAAAAAAACAGCAATCGATATATTTTTGCAACAGAATTAGATATGCAATTAGGCATGTGGGCGGCAATAACTTTTAATTCAATTAATTAGTATGTTTTGAAAATAAAAATTTCCAATTTAATATAGATTTTTTATTGATATTTTATTCAATTAATATGTTTGTAAAATAAACTAGTAAAAATCTAAGTCCCTACTTTCAAATGGAGAATGCTTGTAACAAAAAGTAACTATTGGAGTATGCCATATCCCATATAGACAATATGATACCTTACAATATGTGAAAACTTATTTTGAAGAAATTTCTTGTTACAATTTTGTAATAAGAACTTCTTGGTGTTTCTATTTTTAAAAATATATTCTGATGTAATTTAAAGTATCAAAAAAGCGTACTCTAAATAATACTCGTAATAAATAGAATAATAAGTAATAATTTCTATTTGATGTAAATTTTTGAAAATTATAAGATACTCTGGAATATTATCAAGGAACCAACTCAACCAAAAGCTTAAGCTTGAGGTATTGGCCCAGGAACAGTTATTTATATTCTAACATGCCCCCTCACGTGCAGGCGTAGTCTTTTTCGAGCCTTGCACATGAAAACTTAATTTTTTTTAAACTGGGTGGCGCTGAGTTTCAAACCCGTGACCTCTTAGTCAACGAGGCTCCGATACCATATCAAGGAACCAACTCAACCAAATGCTCAAGATTGAGGTTGTGGCCCAGGAACAGTTATTTATATTCTAACAAATATATTTTAAAAAATAATTAGATACAGATGTTCTTAATACAAAATTCCGTATAATAAGGACTAATTTGTTGTCTTGCTGGCGAAGTAATTTTTGGACAAATGACTCATGAGTGAATTAGAAAAAATGGACAAATTCGAGAACACTTAGTAATTCATTTTTCTTTTTCTTATTTTTAAAGATTCCCACATTATTTTTTCGGTTCATCTCAAAATAACTATAAGAAATTGTCAAGGAACCAATTCAACCAAAAGCTCAAGCTTATGGTTGTGGCCCAAGAATAGTTATTTATATTCTAACACGCCCCCTCACGTGCATGTGTAGTCTTGTTCGAGTCTTGCACATGAAACCTTAATTTTTTTTTAAACTGGGTGGCGCTGAGTTTCGAACCCGTAACCTCTTAGTCAACGAGGCTCTGATACCATGTCAAGGAACCAACTCAACCAAAAGCTCAAGCTTAAGGTTGTGGCCCAGGAATAATTATTTATATTCTAACACGCCCCCTCATGTGCAGGCGTGACCTCTTTGAGCCTTGCACGTGAAACCTTAATTTTTTTTAAAATCTGGGTGGCGCTGAGTTTCGAACTTGTGACCTCTTGGTCATCAAGGCTCTGATACCATGTCAATGAACCAACTCAACCATAAGCTTGAGCTTTTGGTTGAGTTGGTTCATTGACAGAAATCTATCTAAACAAAAGCAAAAAATGAAATCATATTAAAGTATAATCTACTACGAAATATATCTTATTGTCTATGTAAAAAACATCGACACTATAAAACACACGAATTTTAACACCATGTTGTACTCAGTAACATTATTTGATTCCCGTTAAATAAATTTTGTCATGACCTATCTTTAAAATAAGAGGGTCACAATATTTAAATATATTTTTATATACTCAGTTTAGAACAACAAAAGAATTTTTTTAAAAAATAAAAAATGACAAGAACAGGATCATAAGAGCATTGGCAGCGGCGAGTGGAAAAAACGCCTCGCCCTGCCTTTAGAGGAAAGTTGCGCTGCGCAACGGTGGGGAAGGAGAAATGCCGCGCAAGCCAAGGGACGAGTCACTCCCTTTGCGAGGCATCTGCGAGGCAAAATAACCGGCCAACACCACTTCGCCGTCACTGTTTTCCATCAAAATCGCCACCCGGCCGGCCATACCACCCCAATTGTCCCTCCAACATCGCCGATCACACCACCCCAATTGCCACCTAAATTCGCTGGTTGTTTGCCCAAACGCCGCTGATCTGTCCTCTTCTTCCTGCTCGAAATCGCCGGCGGCATCTCCTTTGTCTAAAATCGCC